TTTTAAAAAATCTCCTTCTCTCCCCCGCTCTCCATACATACATACGTATGCGTGCGTGGGCTTTCCTTCGAGCCTGTAGTTACAAGTAGCCCCGAAGGAATTGACGCTCTGGATTGGAAAAACATATGGTAATTGTGCTGATACAATAACGAAGAATGGATTCAATGAATCATGAATTTATGACATGACCCCAACCTTCATAAGGGCCTTGATTCATTATGATATTTTGGGATTAAATTATCACTACTGTGATTTCGTTTGTAATTTTGGGCTAGTTCCCTCTTTTTATATCCAAAAAAAAGAGGTACTATATTCCCCACGGTCCATGGGCTTGAAACTCATATTACTTGTCCAATAAGGAAGGGGGAAAAAAAGTAAACAGATACAAATGCCCTTAATTTGATTAGGCTCAACGTTTCATGATTGCATCTAATAAAAAAAATTAATTCTTTATAACATAATAAATTTAAATTTAAATTTTTATTAAAAAAGTATTCACATTGAGATATCTGAACATATTCAAATATAATTATTTTTAATAGAATGATATCTACAAGTAATAAAAAAATAGGCTAAAATTCACTTAGTGTTAAAGGTGACTATATTTAATACTAATAATATTTCAAATAAAATTTCTTTTAACATAAAGATACATGTGCACAATAAAAAAAATTTAATAGATTTAATTGTTTCAAAGAAAGAATAAAATCTTACCATCAAAAATTAAGTTTAACATGAGGTACTAATATGTCTTACAATGTGATAAATTAAAAATTAAATTTTTGTTGGGAGTAGTGCTTGCCAAATGTGCCTTAGCAAGCCTAATCTATCATTTTTAATAATCTTTTTGGGGCCAATTCATTTCTGATAATCTTAAATATTCATTATCATGCGATTAAAATTCAACAAAACGTATTAACTGTCAATGACTACTGCCAACTATTGCTGATTCCAGCTATACATATTCCACTGTCCACCGACGTTCTCAAATTCTCACGAGACATCTTTAAATTAATTTTTCCCAAACATTAATACAATTCTCAAAGAAACTTATTGAATCTTCTTTTCATTTCTTGTCCCAAGACCTATTATGGAAAATAGTTTTACAAAAAATAAAAAATTATATACTTAATCTTATATATTTAATATACTTTTATTCAATCAAATCAAGATGTGTAAATTTTAATACCTTAATATTTTCAATTACAATAATTTGTTATGAATTAAATAATTTATAAAAGATATACATATCTTGATTTAATTAAAAATAAATATTTTAAATTTATAAAACTAAGTATATAAGTTATCCCCTTTACAAAAGTCTTTTTAGAATATGAAAACAAAATTAAATCAGCCTTCTTTTTTTGGGGTGTTTAGTTGGAAACAGTTATTATAATCTGATGGGGGAAGGGAAGAAGTGAAAAATCATTACACCATTCTTCTATTAAAAATAATTATATTTAAAATATGATTGGATAATAAATATAAACATGCTTCTCGTAAAAAATAATGTTTAAAAAACTAAATAGAATCATAAAATGAAAAGGTGAAACCAATGATATAATTTTATATACATATATATATATATATACGGATCAAAACGATTCAATTATTTTGGTTTTCAGTTTTTGTTCCTGAGTTTTTTAAAACTATTCGAGTCAAAACGGACGACCCTAAATAAATCATCAGAACATGTCAAGTGACTGAATCAGTCTATTTTTTTTATTTGGGTGATAATCCCGCCGGTTCGAACACTTGGGCCTAAACTTAACGGCCAAAAGTTTTAGCTAGACAGGGGAGTGCGATATAGCCGAAACGTCAAACTAGCAAGTCAAGCGACAAGACCGAAATGCTTCGGCCTTTTGAGGACTTCGTCATTGACTGTTCTTCTTTCAAACACGTAACAAAGACAGATGAGAAGAATAGAGAGTCAATAAAACAATGCTTCTGGTCGTACTAGGCGGCTCAAATATATGTATATAGAACAATCCCCATAGAAAATCCATCATGAAAAACAACACATCTACTGCGTGGTAAGAGCTAGAATCCGAAGTTATAACGGACATTAATTCCAAGCTAAGTATAAATTAGGCCAAAATATAATGTTTATTTCATTATTTGCTTGGGAGCCGGTAATTAATTATAATTGTGGCCGAGGGATACTCTCTGTGCCTATGGTTTTTCAGCATTTAGCCGAGTTTAAAATAACGAGAGTCCCGTGAAGAATGGTTAATTTGTGGACGAGGCAGACTAGCTCTAGGTTGTTTGTCCCTTGTAAGCAATAACTAATTAGAAGTAGAATTCAAAGCAAAAAAAATTCATGTTCTCATTTTAATAACAATATATTTATATTAATTCTTATATGTGAATGTTTTTTATCCAGTTTTTCGTTGATTCTCTCATAATAAAATACAGGGTGGGGGGGAACAAGAACAGATTAAAAATCAACTATAAGAAAATAGACTGGATGCATATACAACGTGCATTCAGATTCAATTTGAATTATTTAACTTATATTTTATTTTTATCAGGTTTTATTTTTATCTCAAATTTAATTTTCAATCTATGAAACTGCAGTTTTAATATTGATTTGGGTGATTTTAATACAATCGAAAAATTTCAGAGAGTACTGTTTTCCTTTCCTCCTTTCCCGTGAAAAAGTCGGTCGACATGTGCAACTGGTGTTAAAACAAAAAACAAAAAAGAAAAGCTAATAAGGATTCTATATTCTGCTCTATTTTAATTTTAAATGTATGATCTTCTGATATGTATTACTTCCTCCAACTTTAAACAAGCTAGCTAGTTGAAGAGTTTAATTTGCTATGATAATGAATACATAAGATCTCAGTATCATTTGCCTCCTAAATTTATTATTTTCTCCCAAACTACGCATATTTTGATTGCACAGATATTGGAGGGATATTTAAAAGAAAAACTAACCCACACACACGCGCGCATTTTTACAAATAATTAACTTGACTAGTTTTCTTAATCTATGTGAATTAGTTGTGTAGCCCTTAAAATTATACGAAGAGAGTATTTTCTCCAAACTATCCCTTAATGTATGTAATTAATAGAGATAGCTTTCAATGTAAATGATTTTAAAATAGGGTATTTTAGGAACATTAACACATTTTTATAAATAACTAAATTAACTAAATTTCTTAATTTGTATAAATTAGTTATTCTCCTGAATTTATGATAGCAGGAATTATTTTATAGCATGCAACAACATTAGTATCACTAGTTCAAACTAATCAACAACTACGATAATTTTAACTTTGAGTATTAAATATTTAATGCTAGACTTTTTTAGGAAACACTTCATACTAAATTTAAGAGTTGCTTTATAACGTATTATTGTTAATCATGTTCTCCGCTATCACTTCATAATTATTTCGTACGAGACTCCTGACTCCACGCACACGATCTCGGCCTCGGATCTCTGTGTGTGTGTGTGTGTGTGTGTTGGGGATCGCCGAACCGATTTGAAAAAGTCTTAAAGCATGCCAAGCAAAATCAAGCACATTCTAAAAAAATGGCAATCAGCACTGAACATAAGCTTTTGGCCAAAAGAGATTATAATTAAAGATAATAAAACAGATAGTAAAATGGGTAGTTTGGAATGACCTATTAAGGCTAATTGTTGGCAAGAAAAAACTTCTTAAGGCTAATTAATATTTTCTCATTTTAGATAATCATAATAAACAGGTCTTTTGTTTAGAGCAAGCTAGGAAAAAAAAAACTGAGAAAACATATCTTAATTTATGAAAAAAGGACAAATATCAGGGGGGAAATTTGAGAGACAATAGCCATCTTCGTTCTTCTAAATTTCAATCCTGATTTTGTAAGATCAAGATGTGAAGACAATTTAAAAAACTTGGGAGAATGACGAATAAGAAATCTTGAAAAATATAAAGAACCTATTAACGTAACTAAAACTTGAAGAATTTACAGTTAAAATTAAGAAATTTACAATTTAAAGATCATTACTTTTTATTAATTTAGTTATAAGATCTTCAACTCTCATTTTCTCCTATTGAACTTTGCATTTTTTTTTAAACTTCTGAAATCTAAGCAAAATTTCGTTGTAAATTTTGGTAGAATTTCATATGTCAAGTTGTTATGTATTAAATTATTAATTATAAATTAATAATAACGATCAAGGAGCCATTGATCCACCGACTCCCACTCCGCGGGGACGCACGTGTAAGAAAACGCTCGCACTCGGCAGGGAGAGTACACATAAACACATATCTATAATATAAGATTATATTATTAGCTAAATATTTAAGAAAATTTCACGTAGGTTTTAGAATACTCTGTTTTTCAACGACCTTTCGTGCTGGAGAAGCTAAGCCTTATAAATTTTTTATTTTTTTTCTATGACAAAAATAGACTTTTATAAAACATAAACGTGTCAAATATATTGGTTAGTGGGTATTAATTTTTAACGTGGCTTCAACAGCAGTCGAGGCAAATATTAAACATATATCCACGACGGACACGTTAACGTCTTTCGGTAATTAGCTGGAAATTCTTAATTTTTTTAAAGAAGTGTCATGTACTGAACTGATCGCGCACAAACGATTCGAAATGACTAATTAATCATCCAGCAAGCAATCAAAATATGGATTATTTGTAAGGCAAAATAAAATAAGCAATAAAAATTGGAATGACAAGTGTGGTGTAAATGTTATCATATAAATATTCGAAGAACTACTCAGTATTCCGATCTAATTTGGATCCTATCGAATACAACAGAGTAGCTCGCCGAGACGACAAAACCTGACTCTGTATATCTAAACAAGCAACCCTACAAATCTACGACTGTATAAGTATAATAGTTGAAGTGTATATATTTACATCACGCAGTTAACAACAAATAAAAGTATAGGGAAAAAAAGGACTCATGACAAAGTACAGAGAAAAAATAAAATAAAATCAATGAAAGAACAAGCTAGCTCAACAATGAGAAACCATAAGGAGCCCGAATCAACCTAGTTGTTGACGTTGTGGATTTGTGGGTTTGGCCCTGACGGCGGAACGGTCCCCTTGGGGAGCATGTTGAGAACCAGCGGCCCATATTTCCCCGTCCGTCTCGGCAGAGCCACCGCACGAATCCTCAACTTTGTCGACCGAACCCGGCTGGCCGTCACCTTGTTAACCGCACCGACGCCGGTGTCGCTCGGGAGCGCGAGGGCGACGGTGGCGGGTTCAGTGGCGGCGAGGCCGACGCCGTTGAAGAGCCTGGCACTAGACAACGACGCAGCTAGGAGGAGCAAAACCGCAAGCAGCACCGACGAGAGGATGCATTTGGCCATTGGAATGATGAATCAATGAATGGAGAGCGAGCGACGGAGCGATAGAGAGAGCAATTATAAGTGAAGATATATGCGAGAGAGAGAAAATGGAGGTGAGGGGTTACGGAGGGGCTGGATGTGGTATTTATGCATGGGAATGGGAGGGTGTTGACAAGGTCAGAGACGAGCTGAGGATGTGCAACGCTGGTTTACGGGTGTGTAGATTCACATTACCCGTGACGCCAATTAAAGCCGTGTCTTGTCACTCACGCGCTTGATGTCAGTTTGTTGTTATTTATTTACTTATTTTTGGACCCGGTGAGATGGGTCATTTTGTTTTGATTGACTGTTAATTGCACAAAACACTTATACTGTTATACATACGTGTGCGTATATATTAATTGTGCTTCATATTTTAGAGCTCGATTGAACTGTGTAACTCGGGAAATAAGTGAGCAAAAGAATTGTTTGGGGGGGGGGGGAAGGAAAATTGAGATTTGTGGTACCAGACTGTGCTGGGGATGGGAGTGTATTTTAGTTTTGACGGGATCAAAATGATAAATAGTGATAAATGATGTGATGAATGGTGAAGAAGTGAAAGTAGAAGAGTGGAAAAGCGCGTGGGTGGAGGTGGGGAGTGGGCGTTGACTGATAGAGAAGGAGGAAGAATACAGACTTGGGCTACACGTCTTACGTAGCTGCGTTATGCTGGCTGCCTTCAACGTGTTCTTGTCTCTCCTTTGAATCCAATAACTTAATTGGTCAGCCCTTCTCCTTCCATCCAATATTGCCACTTCACCTTCACCGCCCCCCATCGTATCCTCACTGTACGTGTGAAGTGTTCAAAGTTCAAACAAGACTAGAAAACCATATAAATAATGAGTATAATATATACATGTGTGTGTGTACAATGGTAAGGTATGAACCCCCGCACCCCAACGTTCACACAGTAATAAAAAAGAATGTTTTTACACTATATATGGGCTTTTACACCAATTAAAATCAACATAATTTGATGCTATTTATAAATTATTTTTACCATCATTAAGGAATATTTTTAAAAATCATTAATTCTATATAAAAATTTACTGAATTTTTAAATTTATCCTTGTTAAATATATATAATTTAATACTATATTTTCTATCACCCAAACATTTAATATAATGTAAAAGGAGATGTAACTTATAGACAAGACCAAAACAAAAAAATCTTTTATTTTCACTATGTAAATAAGATTGGAAGGAGTATATGTAAAAAGTGTGTGCTGTAAAATATTTTTGTGAATAATTTTGTGTTGGGATTTAAATCTTTTGAAAATGGAGAATAATGAACTTCTGTAAAGATTTTTTTTTTTGGAGAGAGGGAAAAATTTTTTCTATTTTATAAAAATACAAAAAATGAGAGAGAAAAACTAAAAGAAAACTTTACAGAAATTCATCATTCTCAACTGCAGAAAATTTAAATCCCAGCCTGTGACTTTTTATGGAGGGCTCCGTCAAGTGGCCGGGATTAGAACAGGGAACTAATTAATTTTGGAGTTGAAAGCAAAGGTAATTATGGGCAGTATACCCACCCAAATCAGTGGCCTATGCCATGGGTCAAGCGCGCATGAATTTGAGAGCATTGGTTTACTTTGAGATCTGAGAGGAACCAAGTGCGAAATTTCAGGAAGAATTTGAAGCCATAGCAATTTTCACGTTAGATTATATTCAATCACTTGGTAGGAGAAATGAATTAAAAAGAAGCACCAAGCTCTGTCAATTCACCTTCCTGTGTTCCTGATCATCTAGCTGCTTGACTACGCCGCGTTCCTGATCACGTGGCTCTGCTCACGAGTCACCACACTCCCTTGGTCACTCGCTCCCAGTATTATTTCTCAGCGTCAAAGTCCAATCCCAATATGAACACACCAGTTTTCACCCCGGATACACACACACCTATTAATTTTTAATTCTTACTACTATTACTATTATTACTAACAATAAATAATAAAAACCAATTCTCCAAATTCTTGAAACCAAGTGCGATTTGATTTCCTTCCACGTCACTTCCCAACTACTCCCTTTGACATGTACGCGGCCCTAGCCAGCTCCCCATCTACTCATAAAATTAGGATAACTTATTTTAATAGAGCAGCCTGGCCTTAATATATGCTGGGGCTTTTTAACTAGTTTACCAAAATTAAGAAAAACAACAATGTTATTTTTTCGCGATTAATATGTCAAATATTTAAACTATTCATTCACATCACAATGCATGGGATGTTAAGTTGATTAACAACAACTTCTTTACCAGGAAAAAAAAATCAGGCATCAACTGGCGGTACTATATTTTGGTGAAGAAATGATTAATGCAAGAGATAAAGCAAGTTCTTATATAAAAGAGTGGAGGAGTATGAGACTTTTGGTAAAAACTATAAAAAATAATATATATTTTCTCTATTTAAAAATGTGAGATATTTTTTAAATATTTAAATATTAAAAAATATAAAATATTTTTAATTTTTTAAGATATAATCATTATTTTTTTTAAATACTCTTATTAATAATGACTTTATATTTATTATAGGGTGTTTAATAAAAATAAATAAAAAAATAAAATTAATTTAAAAATAAATAATTATTTTATTAAAAATAAAATTTAATTAAAAATATATTATATTTTTAAATAAAAAAATAATATTTTTTTAATTATAGTAAATCATGTAAAAAAAAAAAAAGCAACGTAACTATGTAATAATTTGATCAAAAATGGTTTTTTTTATTTAAAACACAGAATTTTAAGAAAAGGGTAGAGATGCCAGTGTGCTGAATGTCACCGTCGTCATAATTGCTATCCTGAAAAGGAGGCGACTTTACGATCCACTTCCACGGCCTTTGCCCTTTATATGCGAGATCCAATGCCAGTGTTAGGCTGCAACGAAACCTAGGGAAACTAGTTTCTATGAATTTTCCTGTTCACATAAATGTCTAAGTATAAGGCGAATTTTAAAAGCCTCATTTAATCTAAAATACATTGAAAATTATTTTACATGTAAACTTGATAAATGTAGTCTGGGAAATACAATAATAAATGAGAGAGAAAAAAGAAATTGAGATTTTACATTTTATATGAATCAAATTCCTTGTCTAACATTTATATATATGACCAAAAAGGTGCCAAGTAATAATTCAAGTGACTTGATTGTCACGAGAAAATTGTAATTTTATATTAACTAAGCTACTATTATAAAAAATAAAATATAAACACTAGAATATAATAAAATATCTCCTTATATTTTTTGCTTGAGTTGAATACATGTTGAAGTCTCCAGGGGCCCTGCATGGACGTTATTGTATATCCCGGCAGGCATCAACTTGGGGGATCGCCATCGGAGACGTGTTAAAAGAAGAAAAAGTAAGTCAAACCATAAAAGTAGACTAAAATTAAGAATAATATATTATTTTATTATTAATACTATATAAATCCATGATCATACACTAGTTGAATAGGTATGGATCAAGTATATATATAATACCAATAGTATTTTGTTAATTTTAACAAGGTGGATTAATGCACGATATATAAATGGGTGCAATCCTGAAAACAAATGACATTGGCATGACGGAAGAATGGAGCGGAGTGATGAGATGGGAGATCGACTTGTCACTTTGTGAGGCTGAGGGAGGAATAATAAAACTTACATTTGTTTTTTTAAAAGAACAAAATTAAGCTGAGTTGAGTTTTCAAAACTTGCCTGGTATGATAAAAATGCATTAAGAAAATATCATTCATAAATCATTTACAATATTACTTATCTTACACAAAATAAGAACTCATAGTCTATGCTATACATATAAATAGTTCACAATGCAATTTATTCTTTGAAATTACATGCAACGAAAGCCCTTTCTTATAGCTTTTGTGCGATCACGAAGTTTGAATTAAATTTCACAAGAACATCAACTGTCATAAATTTTTTTGATGTTATATTAACAAACTGCAGAGCGCTTCAGCCTGTTTTTTTTTTAAAATCACTACTTCCATTTTAATGTTATTTACAAACAGTTTGTGATATTTGTCCAGCCAGATGTGTTTCTAGAGAATTAATAAAAAATGCTGGCAACGAAAAGTAAAGTTAAAGTTAAAACAATCACAGTAAATTAAATTAGATAAAGAAACTACAGTCGTCAGATTTGATGGTGGTCGGTTTTCACATAAGAACCTACAGTAGTCAGAATGGAATAATAAAACAACTTTCTGGTGGTAAGTGGTAACTACACACGAAGAGAAAGTTGATATATATAGTCAACCGGTCAAAAGAGTGAAAAATAAAACCTGGGCATCTTATTCAACTTAAACACAACTTTAGGTCATCATTATTATCAATTAATAAACAAAAACAATGTAATGACTAATGAAGGATAGACATGAACTAATTAAAGATTTGTCTTTTTGTCTTCTTTGTCATCACCAGAATCCATCAGTGCCAGTAACGAAAAGGTGAGAGAAAGGAGTGGTGTTTCTTCGAGCCTGTCCATTGCAAAAATCTAAACCATTCAAATCAATTTTAGAGCTATAAAATACAAATTATTAGATCTAATTTAACGGTTTATATATATTTGTCACCTCCATGTGTCATCACAGTATAGTATGAAGTTGGTGCATGCTCTTTGTGGCCCTGCGTAATCATACTCTACGTTCCCTGCTTTTGACAAAACGAGGCACATGCCATGATAATGCCTTATAAATAAATTCAAAACGGCCATGCCTTTTCATTACATTATATGCTTTAAGCCTTCGCTTCTCCTAGCTATAGCTAACTTTTCTCTTCTCTCCATTCATATATCTCTCCACTACCACACCACTTTTTATAGATCATGAAATGGCGCCCAAGCCCAGAGTTGTGTTCATTGATGTGCTGGCCATTCTCCTTCTCCTTCTTCTGTGTCTCATGTCCCGAGAGATCTCTGCTTCTTCCAGAAGATTGAGCCGTGAGGATGTTGCAGTAGGTGGCAACTATTATGTCAAGATTACTGAT